CCTGTGGTTTACATAATGGCTCTCCCCAGTCCAGCCTAGACTGACTAGTCTAAAATAAACTATTCATACAAGTCTAAAACAAAAGGAGTATAAAAATTTTATACCTATATCGATATAAAAAAAGTTCCGTTAGAAGTAGCCTGCAGTACAGGCGGATTTTGGCGGGGCGAGTGGATATTCCCATCGGTTGTTCAGGCCCCCATCTTGAATAAGAAAAACAGTGGAGAGTTGGGGCGAAGTAAAAAGTTTAGCAAGCTAGTGGGAGGGAGAGAAAAAAATTGGGAAAGGGGGAAGGGAAAGAAAAATCCCCCTACCCACTCCGACATTCTCGCATTCTCGCCCCAATTCTCCCAGTCTGCAGCGAATCCAACATGGCGGCTAAACACTCGAAAGATGAAAACCAACAAAACTGCCTGCACTGCAGGCTAGTAAGCAGCAGAATTTGACTCAATCCTTTTTATTTCGAGGTCTGTTAAAACGTGCTTCTGTAAAGAGATATGATCTAGATGTCCCACAGGGAAAATTCTGTTCCGCTCCTCAGACGTGTGGCACTCAAATTGAATGTTCTGAGGCCCAAACTTTCCTTATAGACATAGGCGAGTAAAATTCTCGTGTGCATTGCGTTCAAGACTACCGTTGACACAGTTAATCTAGTTGGAAAAATATTCCTTACAACGAAAATTACAGATTTCGTGAAGTAGGAATAGTTTCCTCGCCTAAGTGGCATCATAGATCCTCGTGGTCATTACAGAAAGCCGACCCTAGATGGCAAATAATGCAATTGATGCAATTGAATTTCCCTAGAAATTAGAATCTAAAAGATGTGTCTCGCTGTCAATCATCAGTGATCAATATTTGCTGCTTTTGCTAAATTTTCTCATATATATTCTTGAGGGTGGGCCGATGTGGTTATTCGGAAACGATACAATACCAAGTAAGATACGGCGTCCGACGTTTTTCTTGGGTATCGATATCGACACTGTGACGTCTTTGAGTCAAATAAAAAGTCACGTGATTGACGGAATATTAGGTTTTCTTTCACTGTTAAAGTTCAACAGTGTTCAGAACTCTATAGAAGCGTCAATAAGCCAGTCAAAAATTTAAAATCGGATTAAGGACGTACTTAAGTCGAAACTCATGGTCGTGAGTGAGTTTACTCTTGCAGCGCTCACATGCCACTTAGACTGATACCGACTGCGGCGCTCTTTGCCCAATCTTGAGCTCAGAGACTTCTCGGCCCCTTGTCAGCGGTTGAACGCTGGTGTGAGACAAAGCACAGGCACGTGCAATATCGAAAGCAACGGTATTTTTTCGCTAGTACATGTATCGATATTTTCCGATCTGACCCCGATATCGCTGGTATCGAATAGTTGGTATCGGTATCGGTCCATATTCTCATGTGTAGGGGAC